GTATCTGAGAAAGGGCTATGGCTCGATGTGAGATAATTTTCTATTTCTTAGTTTTGTTTTGTTTTGTTAAATACTGAAAGACATTTTCTTTTAAATGGTACTTAGCTTCCAATCTGACACATGCTTAGCACTGCAGGGTGGGTAAGACGCCCTGTTTAATGGAAGATCAGTATAGTCATACACGTAAGCTATAATATGGAAAAGCACACAAGCTGTTCTGATTCTGCAACCTCTTGAGTCTTCTGCATGTGGGAAAAGAAAAGCACTTATATGAAACTTCCAGAAACACTGTCTCATCACTAAAGGCACTCTTAAGGACTAAAGGGCTGATAAAAACGGTGATTTTTTGCGGGGGGCTTAGGTAAGGCAGCAACAAGAAAACATTGTCTTGTTACAAACTCACAGGCCCTGTGGTATGGCTTTAAAGCAGCTAGGAGTGTCCCAGTTCCCTCTGTCAGCTGGTCCTTTTCTCAGCTGTTCCCTCTTCGGAAAGAATGGCCTCTTCTCCCTAAAAACAGTGCTTGAAGGCGGAGTGTTTGGCAAAGCAGACTCAGGACAAAGGCAGAGCACAAAAGGAGTGCACCAAATAGGAACCTTTGCCAAGTTGTTATTTGTATCCTGGTTTAGCTTTTTAAGGGTCACTAGCTAAGGCTGACATTTATTGCCATCACATTATTTCCTAAGAATGAGGCCTCAGCTGAAAATCCAACCCCAATTAACTTTCAAAAATGCACCAATATATTTTAATACACACACACTGATGACAAAACCCCCAAATTCCAGCCTGTCCTCCCTCTTCGTATCATACCTGTCTTCCTTGGCACTGCCCAGACTGTATGCCCTTAGAAGCACCTCCTTGCCTACAGCTGTGAGGTGTCTTGTTTGCCATTCGTCCACCTGTGCTATGTGCACACTCAGCTGGCATTTCTGCCAAGCTAAAGTCAGGAACACCAGCAGTTTCAAATATGTCATCCAGGTTTCAAAATAAAGTTCTTGTGTTTCTGGTACATAGGAGTGTTCCCAGAAAGGGTGGGGGTTTGACTGTCACTCTTCTATCTGCTGTGTAATTTCTTTTGCAATTCGCTTGATATTTATCTGGCTTTAAAACTGACATCGCCAGGCATCAGAAGTTGAGAAGTTTCGTCCTTGATTTATTTATTCCTGTTTGTGCTCAATTATGATTAGAAGTCACCTCTACACAGCTGCTCTCCAATTTGTGCTGCATTTGCTTCTGGGATTTCTAACTGCACTGTTCAGTGGAATGACACAAACATTATGAAAATGGAATCCGTTTTTATAGTGCGGTGGATAGTGTTTTATTAAAAATTGCTAACAGCTGTAATTTTAGGTAGTCAGCTCACGTGAAGTTTAACTTCAGCATATCTTTCTCCGTAGGAAAATATGTTATATATGCAGAAAGACAAATATGAAAAAGTAAATCAAACCCAAAACTCACCTAGCCAAGTAATTCTGATCACAATAGCCACATCTCTGATGCTGCTATGTTTCTGAAAAAACAGGACTCCCCACTTTACTCTGGAATGATAGTAAGTAATAAAATACATAGCTGTTGATGTTTTTGTTTTCTTTTCTTTTCCCCAAAATAACAAAGACTTCATAAGCACAGATAAGCTACATGTTCTTTTCCAAAAATTTCCTGCAACACAATTTTCTGACAGGGTCATATTACAATTCTAAATATGAATAACACAGCAAAAAGGAAAAAAAAAAAGGATGTTTTTGGCAGGACTCATGGGTATTAGTTTGTACTCTTGCAAGCTAACTGAATATCCATAGGCCCTGGGTAGAGTCCAGAGGACGGCTTTGACGCTTTTTCTGGTTCAAGCTGGTTTGGGTGCCTGAGTTAGAAGTGTTAAAAGGGCACAGAAAACAAAGCTCCTGATTGGCTTCTTTTTCTGAGCACCATTACCTAGGGCACGATTGTGAAAGAAGGTATCAGGAATGATTAGAAGACAGGAGCATACCTCAGGGAAAAAAGAGATCAGTCGTCACTATCGATGGTGCCTCTAATGTAAAGGTGACGGCAAATGTATGTGATGACGTGGACAGTGCTCTTGTTTTGCAGTGTCCAGAGTTTAAAATTCAGTACAGTAGGGTCTACGGATATTTCATTAGTTTTCAAGAGTACAAACTAATACCCATGTATACCAGCCAAAAAAAAAAAAATCCTTTTTTTTTCTTTTTGCTGTATTATTCATATTTAGAATTGTAATCTAACCCCGTCTGAAAACTCTGTTGCAGTAAACCATTTTCCACTATTCTTGTCATCTTCTAACATGCCATTTGATATGTTACAAATGTTAAATATTAGCCCGCTCTTTATTTTCTGCACACTCTTCCTCTCGAACCAGAATGTAAGTGCCAGGGAAGCTTTGTTTGCTTTATTTACTCCTCTGGCCCTAACCCTAGATCAGCGCCAGGCACACAGTTGTCTGTTGACTTAGTGATGAGTAATCCCTTTTGGTCCTGTGTTTCTACGAAGCTGATTGATAATAAGCTTATGGCTTCTGAAATGACATTATATTGCTCTATATTCATTGAACACCAAAGGCAAAATCTCTACCTTTTTATTTCAAGGTCCAGTGCAGACTGCTAACACTTTGAGAATTTTAATGTTATTACTTGAAGCGAGTTGAGGCCGCCTCCTCCTCCTTGGAGAATGGCTCCTTGGTTATCAACATAACTGCTTGTGAGATTGTTAGTTTTTGAGTAGAGGTCAGGAATAACGCTGGAAGAGAATATATTTTCCAAAGTCCTCCTATAAATGCAGCATCCAATTAAAGAAAGCTGCACTACTTCAAAGCACTTTCCAAAAAATGATGTCGAATTTTGCACACAAGTGGAGTGCTGCTTTTATTTCACATACGTGCTTCTATCTGTTTTTAATAGAATGTTGATAGAGAAATCTTGTTACTGCTGGAAAGAAATGAAGAACAAATGTTCTCTTACAACTTGCAAATTTCAGCCAGTAAGTTCTGGGTTTCTTGGACTAGTGAGCATAAGTACCAGCGAGCGTGTTTTCTAAAAAAAGGTTTATTCCTGGGCCCATATTTTGGGAGCTTCTGATTCAGTAGGTAAAAGTATGGTGCAGCAATCAGAAATGTTTATAATTATGCCATGGGATTTGGATGCAGGTGGTCTGCAGACTTCACTTTGAGAATAATAAAAAATAAAAAATAAAAGCTCCGATGTGTAAAATATCCTACAGGATCTTGGTTTCCTCTTGAGTGCAACTGATACTAGATTACAATTCAAGCACCCAGCTGCCAGGTGAACGGCTTGATGTTTTGATTATAAGAAAAGTAAAATGGCCAAGAAACTCTTAGAACATTCTTTATGGTTGTAAAAATGTTTATCTTTTCTATTCTTTAATTAGCTGAGGTTTCTGTTTAGGTTGATGCCACAAATGTTGGCAAAAGTCAGGTACAGAAAGAAAATTCATAAAAATATTTATTTGGCATTTGGCAAGCTATAAAATATTTTCTCACATGTTACCTAATTTGATTCTCATAGTAACTCTGGCGAGGAGTCAGGGCAGGTGTGTGTTAATTTTGCATACGAGCAAACAGAGGTCTGAAGAGGTTCTAACTTACCCAATGCCAGATAGAAATAAACAGCAGAGAAGCCACTCTTTCTGGGACTGCTCATGCCTAGTGTAGTGTTGGTTCAGCTACCTCTCATGGTCCCCTAATACATCCAGGTATATTCATTAATGCCCTTCTTTTCTGACTCTCTCATCTCTAGAGACATTGCATAGGGAACCTTTAACACTGTGCTCAGGAAGAAGAAGATGAGGGATGTTATTGTGTGTTCAGGATTAAATAAGATAATATATGTGAAAGTCTTCGTAGTTATAAAATATTATACATATGCATGCATATATTATTATACACATATATTATTATTATTGCTTATCCTTTTCTGAGTATTACTGCATCCTATAGGAAATTCCTGGCTGGGCACAGTGGCTCACACCTATAATCCCAGCACTTTGGAAGGTTGAGTGGGCAGATCACTTGAGGCCAGGAATTTCAAACCGTGTCTCTACTAAAAATAGAAAAATTAGCTGAGTGTGTTGGTGCATGCCTGTAATCTCAGCTACTTGGGAGGCTGAGGCATGAGAGTCACTTGAACTAGGGATGTGGAGGTTGCAGTGAGCCAAGATTGCACCACTGCGCTCCAGCATGGGTGACAGAACAAGGCCCTGTCTCAATAATAATAATAATAATAATAATAACAGTAAGGGAAACTCTTGAAACTTAGAGTTTCTAAGAAAAAGAGTTACCAATAAATTTAATAATAAATTTTTTTAAATGGAGGAAGAAATACATGCAGAAATAAACACTAATTTAAATGATTATGAGAAACTAATTAGAATGTGCTGAAACATGATTGAAGTTGAGTTGTGGGAGGAGATAAGTGACTCATTCTGAAAACTACCTAAAATAGCACATACAAAAGCCTTTATAAGCTTAGAATTTCTTATTTTATTTTCTCAGAACATTTCTGGTAGTCAAATTTGAGGCTTCCTGAGATGTGGGCATCTCAGAGGAACCATACGGATTGACACTTGTACTATAAAATATCCTAAGTTGACTGGGTCCAAATGTGGTTGATTTTTATTTACCTTTATTGTTACTTTGCCCACTTACCCTGACTTGAGGCTCATGAAAGTGGTTTTTATACCCTGAAGTCATAGAGGCATTGCTCAGCCAGATCATTTGGCTACTTCCCATAGCTTCAAAGGGAACTAAAAGGCAGATTGCCTCACCACTTTGCTATCTTAGCCTCCTAATGTCTCGTGGTCTCAGCACCTCTCCTTGCCCATAATTCCATATTGCTAGATGTAATCAAATCCTACCTTGGAAATGTCAGACTTAAGCAGGAAGAGGGCATTCATTCCAACAGCTGCCACTCTGGGCTCTCCTGCTGTGTCACGGTGTGAAGCGTGTTACATATTAAATTGAATTACCAGAGTCCTTTCCATCAGATACTGTACTGCCTAATATGGGCATAAATAAGTGGTGTGGTTTCTTGATATAGTCAACTGTTCAAAATAAGAATGAAGCAAACATCCACTTATCTAGTTGAATCTGAGAAAGAGAAAGAACATTTGTCATTGCTGACAGATGTAGAAATGTCATGCATCTTACAACACATGCTGATTCACATTATTATTCTGACCCTCCAAGTCTGTAGTGTGGATTGAGTCTAACTTAAAACAGAATCTGAGTCATGTAACACCTGATGTGTTCATTCCACTTGGGGAAACATCAGCTCTCAATGCCTCATCGAGCCTCTCTAAAATGCCTACTCAAGAAATTTATAAATCTCAGCTCCTTATAGATGGTCACAGATGTCCTTCAAATTCCATTACACAACGCCCACCTGACACCACATATTTGCAGGGTAAATTCAAATAGTATTTGAGGAACAAACTCAATGTGCCACTCTAGGAATTCTCATTCTTATTTCTTCCAGGGAAATTTAAAATATCTTTGGAATTGGCTGGGCACAATGGCTCACGCCTGTAATCCTAGCACTTTGGAAGGCTGAGGTGGGTGGATCACCTGAGGTCAGGAGTTCAAGATCAGTCTGGCCAACATGGCAAAACCCCATCTCTACTAAAAATACAAAAAATAGCTGAATGTGGTGATATACGCCTATAATCCTGCCACCAGAGAGGCTGAGGCAGGAGTACTGTTGGAACTGGGGAGGCAGAGCTTGCAATTAGCCGAGATCACGCCATGGCACTTCAGCCTGGGCAACAGGGTGAGACTCCATCTCAAAAATAAATAAATAAATAGAATAAAATAAAATAAAATTGCTTTAGAATGGCTACTTTTTTGTCTTCTTGGGCTTCATGAGGAGCTTGAAGGCAAATCACATTTTTCTGTGACATTTAATGCCAAATACAGATAGAAAGAAATTACCTTTAGGATATTCCAAGGGTTCAAAAAGCATGGTCACCCAAGCCCACTAATTTGGTGGGTTTTTTCCTCTTCTTCTTCTTTTTGCTTTGTTTCAGACACAGAGCATCACTCTGCCACCCAGGCTGGAGTGCAGTGGAGTGATCATAGCTCACTCCTGCCTTGGTCTCCTGAGTTCAAGGGATCCTCACACCACAGCCTCTCACATAGCTGGGACTACAGGTACACATCCCCACACCTGGCCAATTTTCAGTTTCATTTTTGGGTAGAGGTGGGGTTTTGCCATGTTGCCCAGGCTGGTCTCAAACTCCTGGACTCAAGCGATCCACCTGCCTCTCTTGGCCTCATAAAGTGTTGGGATTAAAGGCATAAACTACCATGCCCAGACTAATCTAGTCTTTTAAATCAGAAAGATATCAAAATATTTCAAATTCCTTGTGGAAGCAGAACTTCATTCAAGCTGATTCTAGGCTCTCATTTACATTCCATTTTATTTCCATATTTGAATAACGTTTTTTCTTTTTTCTTCCTTTTTTTTAACCCTCTTTGTGTCACAGTATAAACAATCTATAGAAGGATAAGCCTCTGCTGACAATAGAGATCTATTTACTAAGCAGCTACTATATACCACCTCCTGGATCAGAACTACCAACATTATCTCATTTGGAATTCTCAAGCACTAGAGATGTTATTTACCACCTTGCAGATAAGAAAATGAAAATCAGCAAAAGTAGGTAATTTGCTTAAAGCTACAAGAATGAGACACGAAATGTGAAGTCAGGTCTGTCTGACTCCAAAGCCTGTGCACCATGTCTGTGTGCCTACATGTAAGCATATGTGTGATTTGTTGTAAAGAGATAATACACTTCTATTCATTCCAGTTTCTCTACTTGCTAAGTTGACCACATGCAAGTCACTCGACTTCTTACAAGGTCAATTTCTTTGACTGGAAAATGAGAATGAGAATTCTCATTCCTTGAACTTTGTAGGATTATTGAAGAAGTAGAATGAGAAGGCATATATAGTGTTTTTTAAAAGCACACAAATGCTTTCAAATCACAAGTATGTATTAGTGAAGGTTAGATTTGGCTACTTATAATAGAAAATCCAAAATGACTTCAGTTTACACAGAAAAAAAAAAATCTACTTCTCTCTCAAGCTGGATGTGGTGGCTCACTCCTATAATCCCAGCACATTGGGAGGCCAAGGAGCGCAGATCACTTGAGGCCAGGAGTTTGAGACCAGCCTGGCCAACATGGTGAAACCTCGTCTCTTCCAAAAATACAAAAAACTTGCTGGGTGTGGTGGTTCACACCTGTAATCCCAGCTACTCAGGAGGCTGAGGCAGGAGAATAATTTGAACCCAGGAGGTGGGGGTTGCAGTGAGCTGAGATCATGCCACTGCACTCCAGCCTGGGTGACAGAGCGAGATTCTGCCTCAAAGGAAAAGAAAAGAAAAGAAAGAAAAAAGAAAAGAAATCTACTTTTATCTTACATGAAAGATGACCTGAAGAAAGCAGTCCAGGGAAAGCAGGCAGATTCCCACTCATCTGATCCCGAGAAATCTTCAGTCAGGCCACTATCTTCATCCATATGTCACCTTATGGTACCAGGTGGCCCCAGTGAAATGGTCTACTGTGTTCAGCACACAAGGAGAAAGATCAAGAGAAGAATGAGCCTCCTAGGCCAAATCAGGTGGATTTCTTGAGGTGAGGAGTTCGAGAACAGCCTGCCCAATGAGGTGAAACCCCATCTCTACTAAAAATACAAAAATTAGCCACATGTGCCTGTAGTCCCAGCTACTCAGGAGGCTGAGGCAGGAGAATCACTTGAACCCAGGAGGCAGAGGTTGCAGTGAGCCAAGATCTTACCGCTGCACTCCAGCCTGGGTGACAGAGTGAGACTCTGTCTCAAAAAAAAAAAAAAAAAAAAAAAGCACTTCCTAGAAATTGCCTACAAAATAATTCAGCATTTCCTATTTTCCCATAATCTTAGGCTACCTACTAATGCATATGGAGACATAAAAATTATCCTCAGGTAAGAAGATTAATAAGGCTTTAAATGCAATGTGTCATTTTCCCTCTATGAGCATAAAATATGCTTTCAGAATATTTCTGAAACAGGATACATGTCAGATATTATCCTCATTTCACAGGTTGTGTAAGTGAAACAGAGTGGTCATAGGGCTTGTTTCAAGTCACACAGTGGATGAAAAAAATTACAAACCTTTGATAGTTATACCTACACCATTTTTTTTTTTTGGCACAAAACAGCTACACAGAAAACATAAAGTTCAACATAATCAGCCAAATGTTGGCAGGAGAAAAATCAAACATCCTGAAAACTGACTTGAATTTGGCTTTGAGTAAACATAATTGAAATGAAGGTTGTTTCCAATAAACTGGAATGCTACAACCTAAAGTCTTGAAAAACTGGAGGTAGAGAGAAATAAAAATTCTAGCTATATACTCACCTTGCTTTTCATTTTCATTTTTGTTTTAACAAATAACAAAAAGCTGTGTAGCCTCTGACTGTTGGCTGTGGTGCGATTCCCAGCTCTTTACCATTGGTGATTGGCAGCTGCCCAATGATTGGCATGGCAGCATGCATCTTCCTGATTTTGAGATATATGTAGAAAGAACCTCAAGTTTGCATAGCCTGGATATGACTATAGCACATTACTTTGAAAGTGAAATGGGCATCATAATGTAAAGTAAAACATCATAAACAGAATTTAGGCCAAAAACACAAACTTGGGCTGGCCGAGGCAGGTGGATCGCTTAAGCTCAGGAGTTCAAGACCAGCCTGGGTAACATGGCAGAACCCCTGTCTCTACAAAAAAAACAAAAATTAGCTGGGCATGGTGGCGTGTGCCTGTAGTCCCACCTACTTGGGGGGCTGAGGTAGGAGGATCTCTTGAGCCTGTGAAGTTGAGGTTGCAGTGAGCCGTGTTTACTCCGCTGCACTCCAGCCTGGGTGACAGAGTGAGATCTTGTCTCAAAAACAAACAAAACGCACAAACTCCAAGAGTATGGCAGACGCCTAGGCTACATCTCCTGGACAGCCAGAGATCACCTTCACTCCCCTCCATGCAACTTGACAGTCTCCAGAACTGTGAGAAATAAATCTCTGTTGTCTACAAGCCACTGAGTTTTAGTAGTTTGTTGTAGCAGAATGGACTAAAACACCAGTGCTAAATCATGCTGTGCTCAATGCTGATTTTCAATATCACATTTGGTTCTTACAATAACCCCACCAGGCAGGACTAGGCTTAGAGAATGTAACTACTTTGTCTCACTAGTAAATGGTGGGAGTCCAATGTCCTAAACTCTTGGCTTCAAAACTGTATGCCCCAAGTTAATCTCTAGCAAGATATGATGTCTAGTAAGAAGGAAAGGAGAGGACCTGGGTGAACCAGATACTTAACAATCTGCCCTAAGTAATCTCATTAAATGTGGATTTTAGGAGAGAGATCCAAGATGACTGATCACTAGCAGCTTGGGATTGTAGCTCCCACTGAAAGCGCAGAGAACAAGAGGACGCCACACTATCAGATCAATTTTTGCTGCTCACGAACCAGGTGATTCCCAGTGGAGGAGCCCCATGGGTCACCAGCACGACTCTTGTGGCCAGCGAGGCAGTTTTGCCACTGCCTTGGTGCCGCAGTTCTTGGTGCAGAGTCAGAAAAGCACCATCAATCATAACGCTGCTGTTTTGGCCGGCGCAGTGGGTTGCTCAGATTTTAGCGCCAGGAATCAACAAGTTGGACGTCCATTCAGAAACCCAACTATAAAGATGGTAATTATAAAGACCACAGATGGATAAATCTATAACGAAGCAAAGAAACCAGCCTAAAAAGGCTGAGAATACCCAAAATCAGAATGCCTCTCCCTCTACAGGGGATCACAGTTCCTCATCAGCAATGGAACAAGGCCTGATGGAGAATGAGTGTGTTCCATTAACAGAAGCAGGCTTTAAAAGGTAGATGATAAGAAACTTCTGGGAATTAAAAGAAATTGTTCTAATCCAATGCAAAGAAACTAAGAACTTTGAAAATATGTTTGACAAAATGTTAACAATAATACACAATTTAGAGAGGAATGTAAGTGAATTAATGGAGCTGAAAAACACAACACGAGAACTTCATGAAGTATGCACAATTTTTAACAGCCGAATTGATCAAGCAGAAGAAAATAGATCAGAGGTCGAAGACCAACTTAATGAAATAAAACGTGAAGACAAGATTAGAGAAAAAAGGATAAAAAGGAACGAGCAAAGTCTCCAAGAAATATGGGACTATGTGAAAAGACCTAATCTACGTTTGATAGGTGTACCTGACTGTGATGAAGAGAATCAATCCAAGCTGGAAAATACACTTCAGGATATTATTCAGAAAAACTTTCCCAACCTAGCAAGGCAGGACAATATTCAACTCCGCGTAATACAGAGAACACCACAAAAATATTCCTCAAGAAGACCAACCTCAAGGTACATAATTGCCAGATTCACCAGGGTTGAAATGAAAGAGAAAATACTGAGGACAGCCAGAGAGAAAGGTCAGGTTACCCATAAAGGGAAGCCTATCAGACTCACAACAGATCTCTCAGCA